GGAAGGGGGCTTCAGGGGCCACAGAGGACTGGCAGGGACCCCCACCTGCTCTCCTCCCTGGAGCTCTCTTGGGGCGTGGCTTTCTTTGCCCCTAATAGATGGTTGTGTCACTGCTTTTGGCCTCATGCCACTCCCTGCTTCAGGGAGGTAGGCAGGTTTGGGTCCTGTGCCCAGTGGGGACGGGGCAGTCATCTGGTATGTGGTCCTCCTCACCTTGCCATTTCACCCCCATCTGCTGGCAGGGCACAGCCTGGCCAGCAGAGTGGGAGGCCAGTGGGATGTTCCTGGAAGTCACCCCTACTTAACCGTGTCCCCCAGGTAGCAGCCGTGGTGCCCAGAGCCTGGGCCTGCCTCCCTGGACAGGGGCTTCGCTACCTGGAGCACCTGTGCCTGGTGCTGGAGCAGATGGCAAGACTGCAGCAGCTGTACTTGGAGCTTCGGACCCAGAGCCCCCCAGCAGTGAGCGAGCTTCTGGGCAGGGCAGCCAGGCCAGCGGGGAGGGGGACAGAAGGGCAGGACTGCAGGAATCTCACTATTTCTGGAACAGCTGCGGCCTTCACATCAGGCCTCTATCCCATCTCTGCAGTTCCTGGATCTGGAAGAGGAGGAGCCGGTCCTAGACCCATTACCTTCCCTTCCACCTGCCCCAGGTAGTGGGGTGCAGGGGTCAGAGGAGCTGCTAAGCCTGACAGAGGAGACAGGTGAGGGGCAATCTTTCTTTTCGACAGGGTCTCACTATGTAGCTCAGGCTGGCCTGGAACTTGTGGCAGTCTTGCCTCCTGAGTGCCGTGATTACTAGTGTGTACCACCATGCCCAGCTGAGGTGCAACTTTGTCTTCCTGCGTCCCACCTGTCTCGGGTGCCTTCCCAGGCTTCCACCAGTAGAGGCCCTGAGCCAAAGCTTGGCAGGTGGCTCGTTGCTCCTGGTCCCAGGTAACCCCATTCTCTTTCTGAAGGGTTAGAGGCAGCTTCATGCTCAGAGGTCAGGGTGCTCAGTGTCAACCCGCCCAGGCTGCCAGAAGTCCCAGTGGAACTGGCTGATAGCTTTCCACCCTCCCAGGGACGCAAGGTAGAGATGGAAAGATGTAGGGCATGTGGTAGGCTGGGGGATTCTGGGGTGGTGTGGGAACCCTGAAGGATAGAAACACCGGGAAGGTGACAGGCTTCCTGTTAGGAGCAGGTGACAGCCGTGGCTGGAGCTTTGGAGTGGGGTATATGTGTAGAGAGAGGCTCTGGTAACTCCTTACCCTCTGCTTAGCAGGATCTCTCCCACTGGAACAGTCAAGGTCCTGCTCAATTGGACCCACTGGAGGAGTCCTGGACACCTTAAGTCCCTTGTCTCTCCTGATGGTTCTGGCCCCAGGTGAGGTCTTTGCTCAGCCCAGAATAGGGCAGAGGGAGGAGATAGGTGAGATAGAATGCAGAGATTGCCCTGCCAGTTGTTGTTTTTGTCCCCGCCAATATGAAAGATGTTGGAGGGGATGCTGGAAGAAAGAAAGTTGCTAAAATGCCCCATTTACAGATAAGGCAGCTGGGGCCTGGGTGGGATTGGAGACACTGGCCTTTCCAGCTGTTGAGTTAGTTGGTGACAGAGCCAGGGCCAGATTATGGGAAATCTCACCATAATCCCTTGTCCCATAACGCTGAAATTTAGACCACTTCCCTGGGGTTTCGGGGTGAGCAAGATAAAGGCCCAAAGAGTTTTGCTTTTGGTAAGGTCTATCATACTTGCGGGTGTTACTAATTCTCTGGGGGTAAGAAGCACTAGTTTAGAATCGCCAGGTTCCCTGTATCAGCGAAGCAATGCTCTGGTGCCCTTCTTTCCTGGAGGCCTGAAGCTTGCTTTTCTTTTCCACAGAATTGAGTCCAGGACCCTCTCTGAAAGCTCTCAGTGCCACCCCCACCGGAACACTTTTATGCCATCATTAGTAGTTAAGAAGCAACGAGCAAAAATACTTTCTATATGCTGAGGCCCTTTGATGCAGCTGGAGGTCCTGGCAGAGGGGCTTTGCCGTGGACCCTTCCTCACCCTTTCCCCTGTTGCTTCCTCTGCACTGCCAGGAAAAGCTACTGATGCTTGCCCTTCTCCAAAGCAAAGACTGAGTCTTTCTCCTCTGAGCACTGTGGCAGAGGAGCCCCAATTCCCAGAGAGGTTCCAAGGTATGGCAGCTCCAGAGCTCCTCCTCGCCAGAAGTCCTTGGGCCCACACAATGTAAACTAATTTATTATCAGAGTCCATGTGTTTGGCATGGTGATGGCCCAGCATGGAGCAGATGTGTGTTTATGTGTGGTGATACATCTGTGTGAGGCTGTCAAGATCAGTAACTGGCTGGATTCAACTATACCTGCTGGAATCATGAATCTAAAGGGTTGGTCTTTGAGATAACTATGCAAGGATGGAGTTGGCCTTCAATCCACACAGGAAAGTTACTGATCTGGATTCCTGCTTTCCTCCTGCCTGAATTGGCATCCTCAGGACAAAGAAGAGTGCTGTCTTGGCTGCCTCTGTATTAGAGTCTTGCACTTGGAGCTCCTGAAGACTGTATGAGGAACAGGGAGGATGGGGGACAATGTGGGGAGCAACAAAATAACCTTCAGGGTCAATTCTCAGCTGCTCTGCTGTGCAACAGCTTTTACACATCAGAGCTGACACTGGAGCTAATACTACGCAGCTAGTGGTTAGACCTTGACAGAGTCTGAACTTCTGAGCCATAGCTTCCCCATGGGCATAATGATGCCTGCCTTACCTACCTCACAAGCTTGTTACGAGGAAAAAATGAGATTAAACTGTCTCCAAATGTGCTGTGCATGTGAAGTGAATAGGAAATGGGGAGGGTATGGGTGCTGGAGGGGAGGCTGGATTGGAAGGGTGATAAAAAAGTCAGTTTCAAGGGGGACCAGGATTATTAATGGGGACTAAATTGGACCACTCTCTTGGCAAGATGTGGAGAAGATCATTTAATTGAAGCCTCTTAGGCTTCCATCTCGAGAAGGGCACAGCTTTCTGATGTACTTACGCTCCACAGTTGTTACAGGTTGTAGTCTGTGAAGGACAGGGATAGAGATGAGATCATTGCCTTGAGTGACACAGAAAAATGTTTTCTAGGTACAGCCACTGATCAGGCTTGCCTCTCCTCCAGTCAAGTGACTGGTTCTCTTGCTGCTGTAGTCTTGGGGACTGCCAAAGTTAGGCGGGTGTGTGGGTAGTACGCCCTCCTTGTGTGTGAGGTTCAGCTCCTGCTGTCTTTGGACCAGGAACCAATGCTCTGAAGCCCGTTTTTCTAATGGGACACTTAAGCAAGGACACCACTGAGGCGCGGCTGGCAAACGCGCATCCGATCGGGAAGGCGCACTTCCGTTCCACTGTTGCAGTGGGATGGCAGGCAGGGGTGGGGGAAGGGAGACGTCGGTGGAGACAAGGGAGGGACCATATCCGGGAGAGTGGCAGCTTCCGACCAGTGGTCGCGCTTCCGGAGAGACGCTTCCGGTGGCGGCGGCAGCGGCAGCTCTGGTGGTTCCGGGTGTCTTTGTCCCCCCAGTGTCGCGGCCCTGGCCCGCAGGTGGGTTGGGTGGCCCCCTGCAGCTCCTCTGCCCCTTCGCCTCTCTCCGGGCCGAGGGGCTGTGGGGGTTCGGGTGGCAAAGATGCTCGGGACGCAGAAGGGGCAGAGCCCCCTCCGACTGCGAGCCTCGTCTCCTTGGCAACGGCCTCGGCCCTGGGGGCGGGCGGGAGGAGGAGAAACCGCGCGCCTTCGTCCTCCCACGGTGGCCTCGCCGCAGCCCGGCCCAGGAGGACGTGCCGGGTGCTGCTAGGGCGGTTTGGTGGGCCGGGGAGCGGGAGCAGGAAGGAGGCCCTGGGTCGATCGGCGATGGGCCGCCCGGAGAGCCCCGTTCCCATCCGCCGTTGTGGGCGACGACGGGCCGGCCTTCCGGGAAAAGGGCCTGCACTGGCCTCCTCCATTTTTCTGGGCCCAGCGTGGAGCGTTTTGGAGGATGTTTTTGAATGAATGAATGGCACAGGAGCTCTTTTCAGCCCCACTCTCTAACCTCTGTGGGTGGTGTGGCATAGTGAGAGGCGTGCTAAGTAGCCAGGAGACTTCGGTGTTTGTCTTAGTTTTGTCACTGCCCGGTTTTGCTGCCTGGGGCTGGTCTCCTGATCTCTCTGGGCTCTAGTTTGCTTCTCTGTAAAAACAGCACGTCAGTATCATCCGACACTAGGTTACTCTGAGAGTAAACTGGAACAATGTAATTTCTTACTTCATTTCCTGCCCCTCTCCAACCTCTCCCTCTGTTTTTCCATCCTCAGCATTCACATCCCCACCTTCCTTAAGATCAATAAGGCTCTCTTTACTGAAGATAAGTGGAAATCTTCCATATGAGGTGTTAATTTCTTTCCTTTCTGATTGAAGGTTTCCCCCCAAGATTCTGAAAGAGGACAGTATTCCCAATGTCCCAGTTTAAGCGCCAGCGGATCAACCCGCTTCCAGGGGGACGCAACTTCTCAGGTGATGACTTTCCCCTATGTGGCCTCGTAGTAGGATGTGTGTGCTCTGGAATGAAGTGCTGAAGTATGGCTTTTGGGGTTTCCCTGGTGCTGATTCTTTGGAAATGAGATCACTGCAGTGGTTGCCAGTGAGGCCCCGAGGAAGAGCTGGTTGGAGGCACTTTGCCCCCGGTGTACTGTGTCCTCTTAACTGCCTGTGGTGCTTAAAGTGGTAGACGCAGCTCCTGGAGATTGCTTCTCTGTCCCCATAGGCACAGCTTCAACATCTCTTCTGGGCCCTCCCCCTGGTTTGCTTACTCCTCCTGTGGCCACAGACCTGTCACAAAATGCCAGGCACCTTCAGGTAGGTTGAGTGTCCATTCTAGGGAGTTTCACCTTGGCCCTGCTCCGACACATTCCTGATCTATCTACCTACCTACCTTCCTTCCTTCCTTCCTTCCTTCCTTCCTTCCTTGTCCATTCTAGGGAGTTTCACCTTGGCCCTGCTCCGACACATTCCTGATCTATCTACCTACCTTCCTTCCTTCCTTCCTTCCTTCCTTCCTTCCTTCCTTCCTTTCCTTTCCTTTCCTTTCCTTTCCTTTCCTTTCCTTTCTTTTCCCAGTACCAGGGGTGAAACTCAGGACCTTGTGCTTGCAAGGCAGGCACAGAGCCACTGAACTAAATTCCCAGCCCGCTCTTTCATTTCTTACATTACAGCGATCAGTGTTTCTGACTCATCTTGATAGTTGGTCGGTGGGGGTGACCATTCCTCAGGTTGGGCAGTCTTAATTTCTGCCTCCAGAGAAATCTTTAGGATGCCTCTTGGAATTAAAGAATTGGAAATCCTAGAAAAAGCTTGAGCCAAGAACCAGCCTCCTTCCTACAGTTAGTGCCCCCGCCCCCAGTATTGGGGATTGAATCCAGGGCATTCACACTGGGCTACATCCCTAGCCTCTTTGAAATTTTGAGACAGTCTTGCTAAGGCACTCAGGTTAGGCTTGGACTTGCAATTCTTCTGTTTTAGTCTTCTAGAGTGCTGGGATTCTATGTGTGGAACACCACTCAGAGCTCTGTGTGAATTTTTTTTTTTTTTTTTTTTTTTGTGGTACCGGGGATCAAGGGCCCTTGTACTTGGCAAGGAAGGCAGCAAAACCACTGAGCTAATTCCCCAACCCCGCTCTGTGTGAATTTTGCTGCAGGGTTCTGAGGCAGCCTCTGCATAGAGATGAGACACTAGAGGCAGAGTGATTTTGTTCAGGTTGTTCCCTATTACTTTGTTTTTCATTGCCAGGGATCAAACCTAGGACTTTGCACTTGCAAGGCAGGTGTGGTGACACTGAGCTACATCCCCGACCCCTTCCCTATTACTTTTTTTTTCTCTTCCCTATTACTTTTAATCTGCCTTTTTTCTTGCAGGGTGGGGAGAAGCAGCGAGTCTTCACCGGCATTGTTACGAGCTTGCATGACTACTTCGGGGTGGTGGACGAGGAGGTCTTTTTTCAGCTAAGGTAGACTTGAGACTAGTCCCTTGCTGGAAATGCTGATTGAATTCAATTCTGTCACCATGCTAGTGGGGCCGCCTCTCTGGGGTCCTTGCCATTTTTATGCAGTGTGTGAGGAATCTTAATGGAAAGGGGCCCAGGGGGCAGTCAGGGTGGCTTGGCCAGTGTCCTTCTCCTGATGTGGTCTCCTGCTTGTGTGCTGGTAGTGTGGTGAAGGGCCGGCTGCCCCAGCTGGGTGAGAAGGTGCTGGTGAAGGCTGCCTACAACCCAGGCCAGGCTGTGCCCTGGAATGCTGTCAAGGTGCAAACGCTCTCCAACCAGGTACTCATCTCTCCTTACATGTGCACTAGAGGGAGGCAAGTCCCTGTGCCCTGATAGCTGGGCAAGAACCTTGTTTTTGTTAAAGGGGTGGGACTGCGTCTTTCCAAAGTATTAAATTCACTGACTTTGAGATCCCCTGAATTTCCTGGCAACTATTCCGCAGCCCCTACTGAAGTCCCCGGCACCTCCCCTTCTACATGTGGCAGCTCTGGGCCAGAAGCAAGGGATCCTGGGAGCTCAGCCCCAGTTAATCTTCCAGCCTCACCGGATACCCCCGCTTTTTCCTCAGAAGCGTGAGTACCAGTGGTGTGGACCGATGTTGGTTGTGGCTGTGGGGAGTGCTTGGATGGGTGACTTGTAACTTTCAGGCTGCTGCTCACAGAATAGACGTGGGTATTCCTGCACACGGGAAGGAAGGGAGGGGGAAGCTGGTCGGGTTTTTGAGTCACGGCCATTTTCTTCTCTGTAGCTCTGAGTCTTTTCCAAACATCTCACACACTTCACCTGAGTCACCTGAATAGATTTCCTGCTCGGGGCCCTCATGGACGGCTGGATCAGGGCCGAAGGTAAGAGGATGATCTGGCAGGACAGATGTTTTGTTGCATTTCCTTTTGGTGTAGTGTCTCTCTCTCTTTTTTTTTTTTTTTTTTTTTTGGCTACCTGTTGATAACCAACATTCTCTTCCTGCAGCTAGATCCTGATCCCTTTCTTGTAAAATAGGCAGACACATGGACATGTATATGCAAATATTAGAACTTTAGGGCCAGGGATTTAGCTCAGTGGTTCCACTGCCTACTTCATAAGCACAAGTTTGATCCCTGGTACCAAAAAATAAAAAATAAAGAAATAAAATTCCTGAAAACTATACCAAAACTATACCAAATCCCTACAGTGTATAAGGTTTTTTTTTTTTGGTACCAGGGATCAGACTCAGGACCTTGTGCTTGTGAATGTTATTGAGCTAAATCCTCGGCCACAGGATGTTGTATAGATACTTTACAGGAGATGGAGCTCAGGGCCTTGCAGTTTGCCAGGCAGACTTGTGGCCACTCTCTGGCCTGATACTTTATAAATACATAGTTTCTCTTTTACTTCCTAAGGTTGAAATGAAACTATTTCAAGAAAATAGTTACATGTCAAAAAAGTAACATTACAGTGTATGCTTTAATTCCTAAAGTGCTTTTTATATGTCATTTACATAAGTGAGGTTGAAATATGTTGCTGCTTTCCCAGTGAACACCAGGCAGCCTTCTTTCTTGGCCAGATGTAGAGCGAGCATGGTTGACTGCAGCCTGGGGCTGTCCTAGTGATGCTTTGTCATCTGTGAGCTCCTGACGACCAGGAGCATGCTGCCTGTCTTTCTAGTTCCCGTGTCCCTTATCCTGCCTTACTTTCCCAGAAGTATCGCTTATTATTATTTTATATGCCACAAGGGCTCTGCCACTGAGCTACATCCCCAGCCCTTATTTTTTATTTTGCAACAGGGTCTTGCTAAG